GGCAAACGACAACAAGAGCACCGACACTTAGGTGTCAAACACAAAGAATGGCTTTAAGGGAGCCTGAGGGTATGCACAAAGGGAGAGAGGACTTAAGCGATAAGGAGATGATCAGACCAAGAGAATGGCACTACCAGTCAGAATTGATGGAGAAGTGATATTTGAATTAGCAGATAAATCCCTGCTTGTGACATAACGATGCACCTAAATGCACTGGGCAAGGGCCATGTTTCCAGTTTTTCTTTTCAGTGCATACGCAAACACCTTACAGCCACTGCAAGTCTGAACAGACTGGGGCTGTACAGACACACACCACCACATATATATAAAAGATTCACAGTAGTTTCTCTTCCCTAATATGTTCAAAAACAGTTTACATCCACAGTTTAAAGATAAGAAGACATACAGTCAAAATTCACAAGTCACAAAGCTACTTACAAAATAAACTGCTCCGAAGCTTCCATGGCCAATCTCTCGGAGATCTGTGAAGAGCTTTTCTGGATCTTCTTTAAAGAAGAGCTCTGCAATTTCTGGGTCCTTCAGGCTGCCCGCTCGGCTGGTTGATGGCATCCTGCTGGGCAGTTAGCCGACCGACTATCTGGGTTTAAAGTGCTGCCTCAACCCTTGGTTCATCTGTATGAATGGAGCCTCTTCAGCATGGATTACTGCAAGAAAAAGAGTGCAATCCTTCACTGATTATCCTCTTCTCAATGAGTCAGAAACAAAGCCACAGCAGAGCAGCTTCCACTTCTTCCAGAGCATGCATCCTTGTTGCGTGAAACAACACAACCTATCCGCTGGGATAATGTCACAGTCCCACTGTGACACCGGTCAAGCATTTCTACACAACACAAACCAAAGTCGAAACACAAAGCGAGACACATTCATTGCTCCAGCATCTGCTCAGTCCCCTGCAGAGCAGTCACCAGAATTATTATGACCTATAATGAGAACCAGTTTGTCACTAGCGAGCCCATATTACCTTGACACCCTCTCTCTGAAGAGTTACACCCACTATGTCTTGAAGTGGATGACACAATTGCACATCTCTATCTATATATCTCTCCATCCATTATGGTCTTTGCAAGACAAGATACATGGCACAAGTATGAAGTGTATGAACCACCACTGCCATTCACTGATCTGTATTTACATTTTTACTTTTACAATTGCACTCCAGTTATGAAGCAGCCAGTGATCAATTTTTTATTCATTTTAGCATGTACACAGAAACCTCTCTCTCTTAAGCTTCTCCTTCCACAACTAAGGCACTCATGGTCCTTTTTGCGTTTTTATTTTCTCTTATCTAAATTCACTATCTCTACAGTAAAGTGCTTGTTCTTCAGAGCCTGATTTGTAACACCCTCCTTTAGAGGAACAGCATCCGGAACAGGAGATAGCCCATTCCACACAACACATCCTTCTACTCTGTTTCAGCAGAGTAGACATCCGTTTTAATCATGATAGTACATGAAGTAGCCTTCACCAGAGTCCACTGGCAAACACTTTATTCAGAGGAACTTGCAATTTCAGACACCACTGGGAACACACAAAATCCTTCCTGTCTGCACCATGAGTTTGCCTTCATTTAAGCAAAATGTGCCTTAGAATCTATTCAGAATAAGAACTATACCTTCGAGTGGTGCTAAAATCATACTGGCTCATCACAACAGGTGAAGCTAAACAAGCATTACAAGTAAAATGCACACACAGGTAAAGGAAGGGTCTGGGTATCGGGATTTCCTCTCAATTCCCTGTAAATACCAACAAAAACGTTCTGTGTCGCTGGCAAACAGCTTATCACACAGCTCACTTCTTCCCAAAAATCCCTGTCTGGCCAAGACTGGTGCTTTTTTAAATTCACATTTCATAGCCCAAATTTGGTTTTCTGAAGAACGGAAGACAAATACAACAAACCTGAGTTTCACCAAGGAATCATAAAGGCCTTAACCCTGTGCATTTATCCTCCTTTTCTGGACTCTATAAACTCCACTTTTCTCCAACCCTCCAGACCATCAATGAATCATTTGTTTTCCCCTCCCCATGGAGCAATTCCTATAAGGATTGAAAAAGACATACTCCTGCCTGTTTATGCTCCGTGGTACACTTCTCTAGGCAGTTGCAGCATGTGGAAGCGCCAAAGACTGCCTGCTCCTTGTTGGTTCAAATAACTATGAGGAGAGCACGATGGGGCGAGAGACAGCCAAGACATACCTAGTTGTAAAGTCTGCAAGAGTCTCCAGTTTTCCTGATTCCTTTAAAATCCCAGTGGTAGGTCAATACATATACACACACACAGAAAATATGCAGCTGTTCACCACTCCGCTACACTGCACTGGTGAGCACACACAGGAACGTTGCATATCGACACACGACATTCCCAACTGCCAATGAAGCTGAGTGAGATGCACAGGAACAGGACTGGGATATCTCCACCTTCCGTTGCATAACACAGTAACTAATACCGTGTGGGAAGGGAAATAATTAGCTCCAATTCAGCCTGTACCTGAAGTACACGCTACATTTATGAAGACTGGAAAGAAAAGTGGTGGGTTTTGTTATTTTTTCTTTCAAACAAGCCAACAATATTCCACTTGATTCCAGCTCTAACAAGCACATAAGACTGAAAGACAACTGTTTCACATTTACAGCCCTCGACGAAACAATAGACAAAAAGCATCAGTCAGAAAAGCGCGAGAGAGGAGCTGGGGGAAGGGAGCTGATAACCAGAGCACACTCAGTATTATTGAAGGAATGCTTCTTGGATCGACAGTAATGATGTCATGTTCCATCTTTTAAGAAGCATCAGATTCTTACAAAAAGGACATTGTTGTTCAAAAGCAACTGCTGCAATCCCAGAATGCCCTTAGGGGCTAGGCTTGGATAAACCTGCTAATATGGCCCAAAGTCACATGTCCCCGGGAACGAGCGTGCGAGTGGGAGCCAGGGCGAGCAGGAAACCCCCAGCGCATGCAGCTGAGATGGATTACAGCTCCCCACCTACCCTCAATGCCAAGCCAGCCACCAGACTCGCTCTTGGCATCATCTTGGAGCATGCCTATGAAATGTCATCAACAGGCAGCACTTCTTATGGCTGCTAGAACTCTTCCCAGGCTCCTTAAACATACACGCAGGAGTGGTATGAGACTGGCTAGCACGCCACCAGGCTTGGAATGACAAAGCAGAGAACTCCTCAGCCACTGTGATACACCTTAAAATACAGCTTCCCTACCACCACCTTTAATCCTGAGACCATCAAGACAAATTTAATTATCTTTATTCTTGAAAACAATTGCTGCTTTGAAATGAATGAGAATAAAACCATTAAGTACTAAAACCTATTTAACGGGATAGTCACAGACGTGAGCATGACACTACGGTTATCATTTGATCTGCTTAGACGGAACAATAAAATGCATTAATGTAAATTCCATCCATACGAAAGCTTGACACAGCCTTGCTTAATGAAGTGCTCCCATTTTTTTTATGGATGTTCCAATATTAAATTCCCTCAGTCTTCTCTTTACCCAGACAACACGTGCTGCCTGCCAAAGCCCGACAGTGCCAGCAGCCGAGATGCTCTGCCTGCAATAATGACACCTGGATGCTCTGGGGAAATGGAAGTGAAGTTATGAGAAGTGGCATGCAATGTGGTTATTGCATTATTTTAAATGTATTAAAAATACAGATGACTTAAGATTAAAAACACCCAAAACTCTGCATTAAACTGCACTGAAAATTAAATCATATACCAGCAGGCAGCTGGGTTTCTAAATTGCAGTCAAGTTGCACTAATGTATTTCACATTCTTCCACCAATGCAGTCTCTACTACAGTTTTTTGGATTGGTGCAACTACACTGTTAAACACAATTGCTCCCAGTGGATGCATGGATGGATCATCTCACCTTAGCTCAGATCAGGCAGCTAGATCCTGGTTGTGGCCAAGAGACAGGCACTGCACCAGGAATCGGCATCCCCTGCCAGCGCTCGTGTCTCTGTAGTCTACCTACAAGCCACCTTTCAGGCTGCTAAAATTAGATGAAATAAATTCCACATTTTTTCCAAGTTGTCACTCACACAAAAAGAGAATATGGCATTGCATAAACACAACTGCTGGTACTTACATCAATTCCACTCACAACCAACAAGGTGATGGAGGAATGAGAGAAAGATTCAAAGTAAACCAGGGAACAATTAGTGGAAGGTGTCCCTGCCCATTGCAGGGAGTTGGAACTAGATAAGCTTTAAAGTCCCTTCCAATCCAAACTATTCTAGCATTCTATGATGAAAGCACAGACTGGACCAACTCTATTTCCATACAGGCAGAACTAACTACATTTAGCTAGTAGCAACCATTACTAGTGTAAGTAACACTGAATACAGGCCAAAATGTTTTATCAAACTACTTTCATCTGAACAACTACCAGTTAGTAGAAACCACATGCACACATCCACAGAAGTCTATGAATCAATAAGATGTTACATTCCCTGTAATTACAGCTATATTAAGTGTACACACACACACCTTGAACCACTGACATAAGGAAGCTGAAGATGAGGACGGGACAAGACCTGTTCTCTTCTGAGTTTTCTGCCTCCCTGCCATGTCATCTCCAGCTGAAGTAAGACCCACCCCTGTGACTAACATCCCCTGGGATCCTGCAGAGCAGAACAAGCAAAGCTCTAAATGGTCAGTTGCCATATTTAACGTGCATGTTTGAGCCTTATGCCAGCAGACCTCAGAGAAATTAAAATCTGTCCTCGCTACACTAAAACCTGTGACACTGACAGCCGTCAGATATAACTGTTCTCATGTAATAAACCAATGTACTAAGAAGAGAATGTACTAAGCCTTCCCTGCAAAGGAGAAGGAAACGTTATCACTGAGATTTCCACCTATCCATCATATTATTTCTCCAGTTCACATCCAGACCAACTTGGTGACTAGAAGGCATTCAGTTACACTAACCATGAGATGCTTCAGAGCGTTTGCAGTTCCTTGAGATGGTTCAAAAGTTTGCAGGCACTAAGTGACAACACAGGCTTGCTTGTAGAGCATTAGCATTAAAAAGCAGCACACTTTGTCCGTACAAATGAAGTTTCGAGGAATCAACATATTCAACATCCTTCAGCTTCTACACACAAGAATATTATAACCAGAGTTAAACAAACACCATGTGAGCACGTCATGGAAACAACAAACAAATTTATGCATCCATCATTCTGTGTCTCTTTCCATTTCCCTGGGTACCAAGAGGCACTACAAGGCCTCCTACAATGGCTAATGAGGCTGACAGCAGCGCTGCCCTCTGTTACTGAATTATAAATAACAGATTATTTGGAACATGAGACATAAAACTTGATTTATGTTATAGTCATCTGCTATACAATACACTTAGCACAGTGAAACCTATAAAACCTTCTCTTTAGCATCAAATGGAGGGTACACTGATAGAACGGAGGTTTCCCTGATAGAATATACATGACACTTTAAAAACAAACCAACCAGGAGATCAGTGATAGCACCTACAATCAGTAGAGCTGCACACTCGAAAAGCAAAGATAGAAAGTGAATATTCAACCCAAAAACTGGTCCTTTGCAGGTCTTTCTTGAAGCCAAAAGTAAAACAAACAACAAAAAAAACCCCCAACACCAAAAACCAAC